GAACGTCGTCGGATCCCCGATGCCATTAGTCAGATAGCCACACTTCTCTGCCACCGAGGCCTTCAAGCTCCTGTCTTCGGGGTTTCGGGTGGGCTGAGGATTCAGCTTCTGTTTAGGGTTTAGGATTGAGGATTCAAGGTTCAGGATTTAGGGCTCAGGGGTTAGGGTTGTCGGGTTTAGGGTTTTAGGGTTTAGGGTTTAGGATTGAAGGTTCAGGGCTTAGATTTGAGGGTTTAGGGTTTGAGGTTGAGGGATCGACGGTCTGGGGCGTGAGGGCAGCAGAAATGAGGCGCTGTGGGTTTAGGACGGCCCTTCAACAAGCGAAGCATAACGACACCCTACGACTCTGGCGGAAGGCTTGCTGACACCCTGGACTGCCAGTCAGGGTTTGGGATATAGAGTTTAGGCTTCAAGGGAAACTCCTAACAGTCCTCACCCGGTAGGGCTCCCATAATATCGCGGCCTTGATGATTAGAACGAGGTCTTTAGATCCATTTTCTTATAACAGACATATGGGTGGTTGTCAAAATTATGGTCCCTTTTTGGGTCCCTATTATAATACGGCACCTATTATTTAGGGTACCCAAAAAGGGACCTTAATTTTGACAACTACCCATATACGTGTAGAGGGACTGTAAAGAATTTCGAGTACTTTCTGTAACTATTCCGACTCCTCTAAACCCTAAACCCCAAACCCTAAACCCTAAACCTTAAACCCTAAACCGTGGAGGTCCCCTCCCCAGGCTGCGGGGCAACACCGCCTGGCCCCAAGCCCTACACCCGAAACCCTGAACCACTTGGAGGTTCAGGGGTAGTTATAAGTAGGGTTATAAGTCTCCGAATATGGGTTATAAGTATAGTTACCCTACTTATAACCCTACTTACAACTACCCATGAAACTCCAAGCAGCCCTAAACCCTTGAACCATAAACCCTGGACCGTAAGCCCTAAATCCTGGACCCGAAACCCTAAACCCTAAACCCGAAGCCCTAAACTCTGAACCCGAAAACCTAAACCCTAAACCCCGAACCCTACAACCTAAACCCCGAACCTTAAAACCCTAACCCTAAACCCCAAACCCAGAACCCTGAATCCCGAACCCTGGAACCCCTGGCCTAGTAGTCTGCAGGAAGGATGCAGTGCAGCCCTCCTCCACTTCACAGCCGGGCTCATCCGGCGCCTCGATGGATCAGATCTCGGGGTTTAGGGTTCTGGGTTTAGGGTTTAGGGTTTTAAGGCTTTAGGGTTTTAGGGCTTTAAGGGGTTTTAGGGGTTTAAGGTTTTTTGCAGTTTTAAAGTTTTTAGGGTTTGGTGGCTTTTCTGGTTTTAGGGGGGTAGGGTTTTAGGTCTTTAGGGCTTTAGGGCTTTAGGGCTTTAGGGCTTTAGGGTTTTAGGGTTTTTAAGGCTTTAGGGTTTTAGGGTTTTAGGGTTTAGGGCTTTAGGGTTTTAGGGCTTTAGGGCTTTAGGGTTTTAGGGTTTTAGGGTTTTTAGGGTTTCAAAGTTTTTAGGGTATTTCTGGTTTTACGGGTTTTAAGGCTTTAGGGCTTTAGGCCTTTAGAGTTTTTGTGGTTTTGGTGTTTTTTTTTGGGTTTTGGTGTCTTTAGGGTTTTAGGGTTTTGAGGGCTTTAGGGTTTTAGTGTTTTTAGGGTTTTGGGGTTTTTCGGGCTTTTGGGGTTTTAGGGTTTCAGGGTTTTAGGGCTTGAAGGGTTTAGGGCTTTAGGGTTTTAGGGCTTTAGGGCTTTAGGGTTTTAGGGTTATAAGGCTTTAGGGCTTTAGGGCTTTAAGGTTTTAGGGTTTTACGGGTTTTAGGGGTTTGGTGTTTTTCGGGCTTTAGTGGTCTTAGGGCTTCAGGGTTTTAGGGCTTGAGGGGTTTAGGGCTGTAGGGTTTTAGGGCTTTAGGGCTTTAGGGTTTTAGGGTTCTAGGGTTTTAGGGCTTTAGGGCTTTAAGGTTTTAGGGTTTAGGGTTTAGCGGTTAGCGTTTCGGGTTTAGGGCTTTAGGGGAGCACCTTTTTCCGGCCTCCTCCCTTCTGTCTGAAGCATGGGGTTAATTGGGTTTGGGGTGGTTTTTGATGTTGAGTTCCGAATAGTCCCACTCCGGACAACCCTAAACCTTACTCTTCATGTCAATCTTTTTTCTACAGGTGTAGAGTTAGAGACATATCCCTTAATTAAGGGATATTCCTTGAATCATATTAGGGGATCCTACTTTAATTGATGAAGGTATATTGGAGTCTTTGAGGACTAAGACTGAAATCCCAGATGACGGCTTCGGAAGACTCAGGGCAGTGCAGTCAACTGACTTTCAGCTCTAAAGCTGTGTGTATGGGCAATGACCCCTTTCTCTATGTTGAGGGTTTGGGGTTTAGGGCTTCGGGCTTCAGGGCTTTGGGTTTAGACTGTTTCGGGCTTAAGAGTTTGGGGGTTTGGGAAGTTTGGGGTGGGCAACAAACAATCCTCCAACAAGCCGCGGGCTGCGCGTAGACGCAACATACCGCCAGGCCGAGGACGAGGCGGTACGGTGTGGCCATGGATTGTGGCAGCAGCCTAGGGTTACGCTGCATACCGCTAGTTGAGCCGAAAAGATCACCAACGCATCAAGGCTGCAGCAGATCCCTGATTCCATTTTACGGCCATGGAGAGTAGCTCTCACTCGTTTCGGTTGTTGATACGGATGTTACTGCTACACTTATCGGTGTTAGCTAGGGTGCGGATATGCAAAATTTCGCGCAAGGCCTGACAAGGAAATCAGAAAGATAAGCTTTGCGAATACATTTCCCCCGTGTCAATGGAGCATATGGGAGTTTCCGAAAATTGGGGACCCTAATTTAGCAATTACCCTAAATATAGTAGGGTCCTCATTACAAGGACCCCAAAATAAAGTATCCCGAATTTTCCGAAACTCCCAACCCTTGATTATAGAGCCCTTTAAGGGAACCCTCAGAGTACCCTTATAGTATCCCTCTAAAGGAACCACCCAAAATAAGATAGCCCGAAATTTCGGAAACTCCCATATCGCACCCCTGACGATGAACTTTGCTGAAACACCGCGATGAGTTTGTACAGCACAGGGGTTTAGGGGTTTAGGGTTCAGGTCTTAGGTTTAGGGTTTTAATTTAGGATATAGGGGTTTCGGGGTTTAGGGTTGAGGCTTGAGGGTTTAGGGTTTCAGGTTTGAGGGTTTAAAGCTTTAGGGTATAGGGGTTGGGGGGTTTAGGATCGAGGCTTGAGGTTCAGGGTTTGCGACCCCTCGACCCTTAACTAGACCCTAATCTCTAGACAGTCTAGCAAGCAGCCCAGCTCGGCGAGATTTTCTTACTTGGAGATGCTGGCGGTGATCTAATGCAAAGCAGGGCGAAAAGCGTGCAACTGTACGGCGCACGTCGCCCGCCTAAGCAAAACTGGCACCCGATAACATGCCAGAAACACTGCCGGCACAGTGGGTAAGATAGAGGCCTTAATAACTAGATCAGGATTCCTTCCAGGGGTCTTGTAGCGTGTTCGAGGATCCACGAGCCCTGAATGACTAGACTGGGGTTCTGGGGGGGAATGGCGTATCAGAAGTATCTAGCCCTTATAGAACCCATATAGATCCCTTATAGAACCCATATAGATCCCTTTCAGACCCCATCTAGATCCCATATTCGGAAACAACAGTCTTAACTATTGAGGATCGGCTTTGCAACGACCAGCCCCAGATCGTGAACTTGCAACACCCAGCCCAGAACCGAAGCACCGTGGACCATTGAAGTGCAGGAACCCTATAGTATAACTGCACTCTGGAACATCCGTAGGCCGAATCTAGACCCCTCCGACTCTGCGCACCATCCCGAGAAACCGTGAGCTTGAAAAAACTTCACCCAGAGACTCCAATATCCCTTAATTAAGGAATCTACCTTAGATTAGAGTAGGATCCCCTATATGATCTAGGGTATATTCCTTAATTAATTAAGGGATATTGGAGTCTCTGGGCACAGAGAGCCCCATACCCCTTAACTTAGGAATAAACCTGAAAGCCTAAGGGGATGAAAGCCGTACTTGTTAATGTATCTTAGAAGCTGCCTGCACCCTGTAATAGTGGTATAATAGGAATATAATAGGGCCCTAATATAATCCTTATAGTCACTATTACATGGTGGGGGGCAGCTTCTAAAATGTATCCATTACCACCTAACCGAATAGGTATGGGGCTCCTGATAAACCTAAACTTAACCCCCAAACCCCTCAAGAAACGCCTGAAACCCAAACCCTAAACTATATCCCCCTTAGAACCACAATAAAAAAATTAATAGTGTTCATATTCTCTTGGGTTTTATATGAACAAAAAAACTAAGGACACTCTCGAAAACCCTAAGACCTACGCCACTGTGCTGGACTTGGAGGCGTCTCTCAGCTCCCACCCAAAGCCCCTTTGGAGGATCCAAAAAGTAGCTCCCTTAATGGGGGTTCCTGTAAGGTACCCTTAAACTCAGTAGGGTTTAGGGTTTATCGGGGCTCCTATAAAGTACCCTGAGTGGTGTAGGGCCCCAAATTAGGGATGTACTTTCTACATCCTCCCGGGGGTCTGGGCAAGTCCAAAGGCTCTCCACTCTGGGCAAAACTGTACTGGGACCTGCATAAAGATCCCTTTGCCAGGGTTGTCTGAGCCTCTTGTGGTTTAGGGTCTTAGGGTTGTAGAGTTTTAGGGCTTTGGGGCTTTAGGGCTTTAGGGTTTAGGGCTTTAGGGTTTTAGGCTTTTGGGGTTAGATGGGGTTCAAGGCTTTCGGGTTCTAGGGTTTGGCCCTCCCCCCAGAAACGTCGTGATATGTTTATGGCCAGGCTTGGTAAGCAGCCTTAGTGGTAATTATTCCAGCCCCTCTATCCCTACATCCTAGAAGCCTAAAACCTTACACCCTCAACCCCAAGCAAAAACTCTTAGAACACATTTAAACAACAAACAACCATACACCCCAAACCCTAAACCCTAAACCCTAAACGCCAGGGTACCTAAGGGGTGCACCCCCTCAGATCGCTCCCCTCGCGTCACTCAAGCTCAGAGAGGCACGCTCTTGAAGGCCGTTGAGGTCGAAGCCTATCTTCAGTGCAGGGTATGACATTTAGGGATAGGGTTTAGGGTACAGGGTTTAGGGCTTAAGGTTTAGGGTTGGGTGTTGCATTTAGATTTAGACATTGTAGTTTAGGTGTTTGTTCTTCCTTATCCCCGCTGAAGCACTGCTACTGCTACTGCCACTACCAATACCACTACCACAACCACAACCACTACCACCACCACCACAACCACCACCACCACCACCACGACCGCGACCACGACCACTACTGCTACTTCTACTACTGCTACTGAGCTACTGCTACTACTGCTACTGAGCTACTGCTACTGCTGCCACTGCTGCTGCTGCTGCTGCTGCTACTGCTGCTGCTGCTGCTGCTAATGCCACTGCCACTGGCACAACCACTGTCACTGGCACTGACACTGCTACTGCTGCTGGTACTGCTGCTGGTACTGCTACTGCTCCTGCTGCTGCTACGGCTACTGCCACAGCCACTGCCACTGTCACTGGTGCTGCGTTTGGTACTGCTACTGCTACTGCTACTAGTAGCAGTAGTAGTAGTAGTAGTAGTAGCAGTAGTAGTAGTAGTAGTAGTAGTAGTGGTAGTAATAGTAGTAGTAGTAGTAGTAGTAGTAGTAGTAGTAGTAGTAGCAGGAGCAGTAGTAGTAGTAGTAGTAGTAGTAGTAGCAGTAGTAGTAGTAGCAGCAGCAGCAGCAGTGGTAGTAGTAGTAGTAGTAGTAGTAATAGTAGTAGTAGTAGTAGTAGTAGTAGTAGTAGTAACGCATCCCCCGCCGGTGCGACGCCCAGACCTCTTGTTTTTGGGACTTGCTGTGGTCGGAAATGCTGTGTTTTACAGCACTTTTTTTCCGCAGTTATCGAAAGTGGCAACTGTTCCTGGTTTCGTGTGTATTTTTATCATGTTTTCTAACATTGTTCATCAATCTCGCACCTGAAAATGCTGGCATTTACAGCACTTGTCTTTGCGAATTTCATGATGTTTTACTGTTTTTGGGTGTCTCGATTTTCGTGCCCAAAACCTAGCGATCTGAATCAAGGTTTTTTGGGCCTCATTTTGATCATGATGTTCATCCAAATCGTTGGTTTGGAGAGCATCCATGTCCAAAACCTAATGACGTCCATGGTCTCGCGCATTTTGGTTTGGAACCTAGAAGTTCGTTTGATGGCTTATTTCTGCTCGTTTGTGTTTGTAGTACTTTTCCCTGTTGCTTCGATGTTTCTTGTGCGTTTACCCAGGAAGTGGTTCGAACCGGAAAGGAACCGATACGAACTTCGGAAAAGTGTTCGTAGGTTGGGAAGATGATAAATCCCCCAATGCTCTAATCGATGATGTGATGCTCATGTCCCTTCGACATCCAGCCGAAGAGGCCGCGACCTGAGCTTTTTTATTCGCGCTTGGTTCTCCGGGACTTTAGCTGGACCCTAATTGCCTTTTGTACATTCCCAACATCTTCTCCATGCACCGGCTTGTCAACTTCTGAGGGCCACAGGTTCTGGCAAGTCTGCTGCACTTGCCAATGAAGTCCTCATCTTGCCAGCATGCGAAACCTCGGGAGGTGCAATCATACTCAAGCTGACCATTCATGCTAGTCATAGCTCGTGTATTGCATCCGAAAGGCATAGCTGGTTGATTGCCAGCGAATCACCAAGTAGGTTGTTCAAGCTCTGGTGTTGGGACATGTGGATTTTAGGCCGAAGGCGGAATAACTTCCATCCCCGGGTCTTTGCTGAAGCAGCTAGCCGACCGAAGCCTTCCTGAGCCAGGGGTTGCCCACAACTACACGATTTACCCTATATAGAATTACACGTGAGGGCTTCTTCTAGGCAAGGAACTTCCATATTTTGACCAGCAGCTGCTACCAACAGCCTTGTTTCGTGGGGTAGGAACACACCATGTTCTCGCTGAGTCCGGAAGTAGAAGTTTGCACAGGCCACTGTGTATTGCAGGGTCTGCACATCAGGATCCTGGTTTGCCTTGGGATAGCTCGATCGGTTTGGAGTTGGAGTTGGGGCTTGGGTTTTAATTAGTTCGACTTCTAGTGCTAGCTATTTGTACATACAGGGTTTGCCAATTTACTAGCTGTTCCAACATCATGCTCAAGCTTTCGCAAAAGGAAACCGCGTTCGCGAGGTGGTCCTCGATCCAAGCCAAAACCAAGAAGGTATCATAAGCCTTGCCACCAAGAGATGTCGGCCAGTCGTTGTTGTTCCTTAAAGATGATTCCGTATAAGACTTGGATTGACCTATGTTAGCCGCTACTGCGATCGACCAATCAAACGAAATACCAATTGAGTTTATAGCTTCTCCATATCGAAAGCTATTCTCGTGAACTTGTCACAGCCTGTGGTTCGCCCAGTCCTAGCACAGTAGGCCACGAACCTTGTGTATGCTCGATGCAATCGGCTATCCAGTGCACGATCATTGCCGAACTCGCCCAAACGGCATAAAAGGATAATTGCACTAGCTGCCAAATCCTGGCCCCATCCAAGATGAAATGTGTGCATAGGATCGGTCATGATTGTATTCGTCTGCAATCCCGGAATTCTGAACAGAGGGATATCGTCAGTCTTGTGAGGGCTGGTTGTTCGGCAGCCGATGGTTTCCCGCCAGCATGCATCTTTCGAGAGAACATGCCAATCCTCAATTGTACGTACAAATAAACCGAAAATTAGTAATAAGGCCTATAAACGTTTAAAGTATATTGAAGCCAACAGCCACGAAACCTCCGCTTGACAAAGGTGACACTTCTCCTTGCAGTTGTACCCAGTGGACAGCTCGTAAGCCTGGCCAGCTTGGGAGGAAACTTGGTGTTTAGAGCTAGCTGTAGGGTAGATTGGGCTGCACATTGTATTTCTTATGATAGGCTAGTATAAGGTTGCAGCCATATATGATTACAACCGGTTGTGTTTTTGTAGGGTTTACTTTAGGCCGGTGTACTATATGTTTAGTGTTTAGGGGTTCAGGGTTTAGGGTGAATCGTGCCTGGCGGAGATACTTCCAATCTCCTTTGCCGGCAATGCAGGCCATATGCAAGCGGATGCCCGAGACCTCAGATAGCCCGTGATATTGTCTTTTAAATGCACGGTTTTAACCTGATATACAATGTACTGAACTTAGTAGCACCATATCTTCCAACCAAATCAGTTGTAGCAGCCTCAACCCCATTCCAGAAAATGTCTTCAGCAGTGTCCGCTGTTGCTGAATGTAGATCGTACAGGGTCTTGTCGCCGGCGAACAGGTGGGAGGAGATACAAACTGTCAAAAATCTTGTGGTCAATGAATGCCTCAGCTGAGCTTGGGGGTTTCGGTGGCGGGTGCCAAGAACAACAGTTGCAAGTACAACTAGGTACACTGCCGAGTCGTGGGTTCAGGCCACTACATCGATTTGGAGTGGGTCGACGGGCAACATACTTTAAGTGTAGACAGGTTCATATTACACATGAGCAAGCTGTTGGGGAGGTAGAACTATGGGCCGATGAATGAAGCTAGACCTCTAGATACCTTTCGCATTGCTCAAACCTAGTAGTGTACTACCGACCTTACTACAGCGCTTATGTGCAATTACCACGGCTTATTATATGCAAATTCAAAGAAATAAGATAAACGGGTGCTGTCATTCCATCAGTGCAAGCTAGCTGCCCTGACTCATTCGTAACAAATGGCCCATATTTCGAGATGATCGGTTGGAATGATTCCACTATAAATGGTTTGCCTCGGAGGCCTCGGCCTTCATCACCATGAATTGCATAAGGTATCAGCCTCGACAATTCAAGACCTGAGGTGTAAGCTGCATGGCTGGGGTTTATGGAACGATAATTCTCCCAAAAGCTCGAAAAGATCATTGACCATCCAAGCTCATCTTCTAGCTTGCAGCCGCCCAGTAGGTAGGCCGGGTTGTTTTCCAGAAGCACACGGGCCCAATCAGAGATCCGAATGACAGGCCACTGCAAAACTTCATCGTGCGGCCGAGGCTTGCGAAGTCTGATTGTCGTTGGCACAGTTGTCAGGGGAACTGGGTATTGAGCACCACTTTTCTCAAGCAGTATATGCAGGTTTCGGCAAACATTCGTGCGGCTTGTGCCAGCTTTGGCAAGCTTGTGTAGCAAGTCTGGCTTGCCACCTTGGATCATGCATGTATACATGGGCAGCCCGACCCCAATCATGCCACCCCACACAGCACGAAGCATGTATATAGTACATGACACACACACACAAAAAAAAACACACAACAGACACCCTACATTCCACACTCCACATTCCACACCCCACACCTCACACTTCACCAAGCCACTCCATGCCACACCACGACACTATACCACACCATCCAAAGACATAACCCCCGAATCACAATCACATTGCTATATCATTAGAGCCTGGAACAGCGCTGTATGCAAACCAGGGGTCGCTTCTGTCGCACACGACAAATCATCTTGGCAATCTTGCTCGTTCGACAAGCAGACTCGGCCTTTGCAGCACACAGTTGCCTGTGACAGATGCAACATGTATAGATAGTTAAGCCTAGGGGCTCCGGAAAGGTAGTCATGCATCAGTTCTTGCGCCAGCTCTGCATCCTCGTCGTCATCATCCTCTTGGCCTTAGTGGCAGCTACATCATACATTAGGTTATCATATGTAGACAACCCGTGCCTGCACCTGGTCCCAAAAGCCGCCTCAGCGTGCGTGAACCTGGCACATGTACACAGGCAGCGGGCATCAGCGACCACCACAACATCTCAGGAGAAGCGAGGGCAGAGCAAGCAGCACTTTTTGACCCCAGTTGCATGAGTGTCGTACCCTAATTGCAAGCAGTCAGCAAGTGCCTAGAAGCACAGTTGCCGTTGTTGCCCCAGTCAGCAGGAGCTCTGCATGAGAGTGCACAGCTTTGCCACTCATGTAATTATGCATGGTTCATGTGTGCCAGTGCGTGTGCATGATTCACAGATAGCTGGACTCAAGCAGGCCCTGAACCCGGATGAATCGAAAAACTCAGCGCGTCTTTCGGCGC